TATATAGCGTAGTAATTTTTACAGTGTCATTATTTATATTAGAACTTGAAAATTCATTTATACGGCAAGTTTTGTTTTTTAATTGGCATTATGAAGCCTTAAACCATGAACTATTGTTTAGGATCATAGAAACGACAAGATCTCTATAGACATAAATCATAAACGGCAAAGTGTCTACATGCATAAATGACAAACGGCAACAACTTTTAAAGCTTCTGTGTGAACTAAACTGAAGCTTTTATAGTTCAGGTGGGCCATTGTTGTGGAATTTGTGGGATGTTTTAGACAAGTAATCTTCGTAAACTTTCGGTCTGTATTATTTTATCATAACAAATAAAACTAAACCTAGATACTATTACTATTTTAATAGTTATACCACCACTCATTTATATATTAGTTTGTGTTAATGCTTTTAGCTCTACCTTTACTTTTTCCTTCTGCTATATATGTACAATCCCTACCAAACGGTCCAAACTTACAATTTTTCCCTCTTCCTCTAAGGTTCATCATCATCAACTTTCCAAACTTCAATCTTTCTCTTTAATTGCTCCAAAGATAAATTTTTAAATCTTGAAGCAAAACCCTATTCAGTTTGTTCTTTGTCATTGTTCCTTGGGCTTTAAGAAACACAGCATAAAGAATTAGGGTTCCACTCTGTTCTTGACAAGAAAAGTGAGTGAGCTTATATCTTTTGGCTTTTCAGTACCTGAGAGAATCATTTGAAGAAATTATAGAAACGAAGATGGTGGGATCATCTTTACCACCTGGTTTTAGATTTCACCCAACAGATGAAGAACTTGTGAGTTATTACTTGCACAGAAAAGACGAAGGGCTTGAGATCGAGCTCGATATAATTCCATCAATGGATTTATACAAGTATGATCCTTGGGAGCTTCCAGGTATGTTCTTTCTTAGAAACCAAGATTGAACCAAGTATAGAAATCTTAACTTTTGCTTCTTTACAGAGAGATCCTTCTTGCCGAATCGAGATATGGAATGGTTTTTCTTTTGTCAAAGGGACAGAAAATATCAGAACGGATCACGGATAAACAGAGCAACTAAATCTGGTTACTGGAAAGCCACGGGAAAAGATCGAAAAATCGTTTGTCA